GTTCTTTCACCCACCGTGAATATGGCCCCCTCTCCCACATCATATGTGAATCCACATGCTAGCTGCTGAAAGAGGCAATGTCTTACCACCCATAAAGTCTTTCTCCCTTCTCTCATACTCTCTTTCTTTTGCTTACATTATTAATTTTTAAAGATTTATTCATTTTACTTGGAAAGTCAAAATTGCTGAGAGAGAAGACGAGACAGAAAGGGAAAGATTTTTCATCCAATGATTCACTCCCTAGATGGCTGCCAGAGCTGGGAGCTAGGTGCTTCTTCCATATTTCCCACACAGGGGCAGGGTCCCAAGGATTTCAGCCACTCTCCACTGCTTTCCCAGGCCATATGCAGGGAGCTGGATGGGAAGTGGAGCAGCCGGGACATGGGATGCCAGTGCTGACAGCACACCAGCCCTTCCCCTTATCTCACTTTAAATCCAGTATCCATTAGTGATAGGTGCCTCTTAGCCTTGGAACAGATTCCTGTGCTGAAGTCTACCACATAATCATAATCATATTTTTGAAAACACTTTACAAGAAGAGAGATAAGAATGGCCAATAAACACATGAAAAAGATGCCCAACATTTCTAGTCACCAGGCAAAGTTCAAAGATTGACATGATTACATATTGACAAGGATGTGGAACAACTGGAATTCTGACACAGCTGAGGAGGCACAGCAGCTCTGGGAGATGCTGTGACAGTTTTTTACCTGGTTCAACTACACGTTTATCATGCAGTCCTGCCACCTTGCTCCTAGGTGTCAGCCTTACAGCACTGAATTCACAGAGACCCTTGTACGGACTCATATGGATGTTCAGAGCAGGTGTTACTCAGTTGCCCCAAACTGGACTACCCAACTGTCTATCAGTTGAGAACTAGATAGACAAAATGTGACACATCCATTCCAAGGGAATAGTACTCAGCAATAACCAAGAGTAAACGACAGATACAAGCTGAATGACTCTCAGGATCGTCAGGCTCAAAAGGCCATACTCTATCTGACACTGGAAAAGCTGATGGGCAGTTTTCTGGGAGCAGGAAATTGGTGATGGAAACATGGTGGCAGGGGCACACAGCTGTACGTGTGTATCGAGTTGCTAGCAGTCATCCAACAGTACATTTAAGGTAAGTAAACTTTATCCTATACAAATCATACCTTAGTAAAGCTATTATGAAAATTTTAAATACGTAGGTCTCTATGTCTCAAAAATGACTATATATTTGTCTCTTGGTTGGGGGGAAGATCTGGGTGCTTTCCATTTTGATCATCTTTGCTTGTTGAAATTTTATAAAATTTCCACACCGATTTTGTGGCACCTTGGCCAGGGGCAGAAACCAATAATCATCAGGCTATTCAACAAGGAAGGTAGTATTGATATAACATTGTGTGTTTGTCAGGAAGCCCATTTGGGTCACCTCCTGCTCATCTATCTTTGCCCGGTGGCACCTCTGAGGGGTGAGCCGAGGAAACAGGGCAGAGCGGCACAGGCCTTCAGAGCCATGCCTTGTCCCCTCGGCCTGGGGTTTGGCTCTCTCTTCGAGAACTGCATGAATACACAGTGGCTGAGTGATAGGGCAGCCTGCATCCTCCGCTGCCACTCCACCCTCCATTCCAATCCTAGACCACTACAGCATGCTCTAGTCAAGAGAAAGTTCTCGGCACAAGGCTGGGCAGACTGTGGTTTCATGACCCAGCTCCGGGCACCCACCTCCTGCTCCTTGTGGGTCTGCTGGGAACCACATGTTCTTGGTGAAGTCAAGAGGCCATTCATCAGGGATGCCCATGGTGACAACAACTGCTCACGCCACACTTGCTGTCCCTCCAGGGTGTGGACTGCTCACGCCACACTTGCTGTCCCTCCAGGGTGTGGACTGCTCACGCCACACTTGCTGTCCCTCCAGGGTGTGGGTGTCCAGTGTCAACAGGCCTCTGGCTCTTTGCCTCATCATGCATTCAGGCCCTCCTCAAACTTTCTGCCTGCGAAAAGACAGTCACCTTAGGAAACCTGACTAATCCCTAGGCGATGGGCAGCACACCTCGAGAAGTCCGCACGGCTTGCAAATGCCTTGGTGGCTCACAGGAATCCAGTGAGGATAAGAAAACTATAACTACAAAAATAGCTTCATAAGAACACTACCTTGTGTGTTCTAGAACAATGTTCTAGAAACTCTAGAGAAGAAGCCCAGTAGATGACCAGAGCAGTTTTGATGGACACAGTGGCACAAAGCAAATGCAGCTGTCCTTGGAATGGCTGTGTTGCCATTCAGAAATGCAAGGGTGGAAAAAGACCCCAGGGACCCTCCTGTCTGGGGTCTGATCCTCAGGGATTTCTCTTTCAGGCACTTCCAGCCCCTAACATTTGAACATATTGTTCGCCATAGCGACAAGGTGGGAATAACCCCAAGTGTCCGTGGTTGGGGGAGTGAATAAACATTCGTGGACCATAACACAGTGGAATAGTGTGCAACCTTAAAAAAGGAAGGGAATTCATACCCCACATGGCAATGTGGATGAACGTGAAGACATTATATGAAGAAAAGACAACCAGTCCCCAAAGGATAAAAATGGGATGATTCCAGTGGCACGAGGCACTTGCAATTGTCAGATGCAGACAGAGAGTGGTAGGTGCTTGGGAAGGGAGGATAGGGAACATGGGCGCTCCTATCTAATCGGCACGGAGCTGCAGCCTGAGAGGAGAAGGCTGTGGGATGGGCGGTGGGGATGCTTACACAGCCATGGGAAGGTATCTGATGTGGCTACACTGCACTTAGTGATGGCTGACCTTGAACAGTTTACATTGTATAATTTTGCCACCTACACAAAGCAACAACCCAGGCCCTGCGGCTTCAAGAAAGCCTCAAGTTCTGCCTATTATCATTCAAATCAAGTGTGTGAGCCAGCAGGATCAGCCTCCGATTTAAAAATAAAGGAGGGAGGGGTTAAAAATTGACAGCGAAATGAACCGAGGACCTAGTTGTGTTTTTTGTTTGTTTGTTTCTGTTTTTGGTTGTTTTTTTGTTTGTTTGTTTGTTTGTTTGCAGTTACAACCCATCAAAGCATGGCATTTTAAGAGGGGGAAAGAGGGGCTTTATGGAAAAGTTGGCATGGCTGATCCTCTTGGTTTCCCTCTGCCCCAACAGGGGTTCTGATTGTGTGCTTCTTAAGAAGAACCATGCTAAAGGAAAGACATACCCACACAGGAGAGATCAAATGAGGTCCCAAGTGGATCCAATCCAGCCCCAGGCCGGACCTTTCTCTGACCTGTACTTGGGGGCAAGGAGCTAAGAATTCTTCAAGGTAAACAGTCAGGAACTGTGGTTGCCTGTGTAGTGTAGCACACCGATACAGCACGAGCAAACCCCAATGAGGGGCACCTGGCACACCCTCCTGGAGACTCATCCATCACCTTCTGACACCCAGCCTGTGGCAGGACCCTGGCAGAGCTGGCAGAGCACTTGGCACATGGGCACACCCATCACACATGGAACACCTCAGGCCAGAAAGTACAGGAGTACACACAACAGACTCCATTTTCCCAGGCCAAGAACTTGGGTCCCAGGAGTCAAGTCCAGCGAGTGTTCTGCTTTGCCCTCAGGCAAAAAGAACCTTCAGGAAGGTTTCTAGCTCTCCTCCTGGCCATGCCCACTACCCTTGAAAGGCTGGGTGCAGTGTGAGTCTAACTATCAGAAGGCCGATTCGTCCAAGTCCTGTCCCCTGTGACCTTGCAAAATGGCAACCACAGTGTCTCCATCCTCACTTATGTGGGGCTAATCCAGCAGTGTCTCCAGCCACGTGTCAACACATGTAACTCATTAGGAATTTCTTTCTGCCAAGACATCCAGGACTCAGCGTAAACAGGGTGATGTCATCATGTGTTGTTTAAGAAAGCAAGCAGAGCCCTGATCCCTGGTGACACCTCTCTTTAGCAACATCGTGTTTCTTGTAGTGGGTGGGAGGAAAATGCTAGTTTCTTGCCAAGGAGCCGGGCTATGCAAGGACGATCCATGGCAGTCCCATCTCCCAGGAAAAAGCCGCATTTGTCCCAGGTGCTGCAGGCGTGCTAAGAGCCGGAAAAAAACAAGCGGCTTTACAAGGGGCTTACCCCTTTGTGAAGTGTTTGAGTCATGTTTTATGCTAGGAAGAGACTTGGGGGTTCATCCTCAGGAGACCCTGGAGGCACCCCAGCTGCAGCTTCAGTTGGTTAACTTCTCCTTCCCAGAAAGCCAGCTGTCTGGGGAAATCTGAGGGTGGAAATTAGCCCTATACTATGTATAAGACACCTGTAAGGGGCCTTGCTAAGTGTCTGTCACATGGTGGGTTCTGCCTGGGCCAGTGTGGGAGCCTTGGGAAAGCGTCCTCTTCTCCCTTTTCTAGGTTCAGACCGCCTGTGCCTGAAGCAGCTCCCCAGTGCTCCTTCAGAGGTTGCCCAGTAGTGATGTTCTGGAAGACCCTGCCCAGCACACTTTCTGAAACAAATAAGATACACTAGAGCAGGCAAGGGGGCACAGGTCCTCGCAGGCTGAGATTCAGCAGAGTGACTTCACTAATAGGACATAAGGGACTACAAGACTTGGACGTGAAGAGCTCAGAACAGACTGGTTTGGCGGGTGGTCCCTCCCCCTGAGGCCTCACTAGCATTTGCACATTTCACAGGGCTCCACCTTTGCGGGCCCTTTAGAAGTCAGCGGGAAATTATCAAAAATAAATAAAATTTACACACACACACACAAGTCACACACGCAAAAGTCAGCGAGAGTCAGAAATCATGCAAACACTGGCGGCAGGTGGACCAACTGGCTGGAGATGTCTCGCTGAGAAGCCGCTGTTTGCGTAGGGCTTCACAGAACACTGCCTCCTTCCCCAGCCCCTGATTTGTCACCATCTGCGGGGGGTGAAACCCTTGCAAAGGCGGCCCCAGCAGCACCTCGCAGCCTCCAGAGGTCCTCTCCTAGCATCGCATCAGGCCACTCTGGGCAGGGCCTGTCCTCCCTGGCCACCTCAGATGTCCCAAGCCGGTATGGTGAGGGGCAGGTGGGAGCAGCCAGGTCCCTCCCCAGGCAAATCCTGGTGAGCCACTCGCCCGTTGCGCAGCGGCAAGCGGCCAGACCTCGGGGCCCCACTGCTGGCCCCCGACTCGGAGGGCAACCCCGAGTCGCTGGGCTGCACCTCTACGAAGACCCGCCTACGCAGGTGCCCACCAGACCGCTCCGAGTAGGCCTCTTTATGGCCACCCCACTGCGGAGGGCAGAAGCGAGTGCGGAAGGCGGCCTGGAAGCCACGGCGGAAGTTCTCGTTGAAATAGCCGTAGATGATGGGGTTGGCGCTGCTGTTGAAGAAGGCCAGCCAGTGGGCGAAAGGGAAGGCGTAGACGGAGACAAGATGCAGCTGCGGCTCGGTGAGCTGCCCATAGTCGATGAGCAGCAGCAGCGCCCAGAGCGGCAGCCAGGACAGCGTGAAGAACAGCGCCACCATGACCAGCATGTGCACCACGCGCGCCTTGCGGCGCGCCGCCCGGCCACCCTCGGCGGCAGGTGCCTCCTGGCCGTCACGCGCCGGGCCGGCTGCCTTGCACAGTTTGCGGGCGATGCGCGCGTACATGACCACGATGAGCGCCAGTGGAGCCACGTAAATGTGCGAGAAGAGCACGGTGGTGTACACCTTACGCATACCCTTCTCGGGCCAGGCCTCCCAGCACGAGTAGAGCGGGTAGGAGCGGTTGCGGGCATCCACCATGAAGTGGTGCTCTTCGCGGGTCACGGTCAGCGTCACGGCCGACGGGCACATGATGAGCAGCGCCAGAGCCCAGATGACCCCGATGGTGACCAGCGCCTTCCGCAGGGTCAGCTTCTCGCGGAAAGGATGTACGATGCAACGGAACCTGCAGCCAGCAAGAGACAAGGGAGAGGCCAGGGTCTGGGTTGGTGCAGGGGCCCAGAAAGGAGCCCCTGGCTGTGGGGCTCCCGGGACGTCTTGGCGTCCTGGATACTCTCTATCGCACCTCAGGCTGAGTTAAAGATCGGTTCAGATGTTTAGCTCAGCCCGCCTGCAAGCTAATGAGGAAGTCAGTTCCTCCTGCTGCGCAAATAGCCAAGGCAACAACAGGATTTACAGGAGCCAGGCAGTGCCTGCCTATGCACTTTGTGGGGTGCACTATTAGCTGGCAGCCAGCAGAGCAATCTGCCTGCACACCCAGGTGCATCAGTGGATACACTTGCCAGCTGTTTACCCATTCACCAGGAAACTTTGGGAGGCCAGGCAGGGAGCCCCCTCAAGACAAGTTGCTCCTATATCCTGGCCAGCATCCTTGCAACATCTCAGCCCAAGTCCCTGTGTCATCTTGGCCAGGACACTCATCCTATTAGGCTGTGTCTGCACTGTTTCAATTCCTCATTAGAACATCTCCATGGTAATTATGATGACATGTTCAATTTGCAGAGCAGGAAACCTGGACTTGGATATGTTAAGCAATTGGGTCAAGTTCACATATTAAGCAAGTAGCAAGGTCCACCGTCCTGCTGTGTGTGCCATGTAAACCAGTAGCGGTACACCCTCGCAGTCTGGTAGAACCTTCTAAAGCCCCCCCTCCTTTTTTTTCTTTTTAAGTACAATTACCTGCACCTGTTACTCCTGGCAAACGACTCCAGACAAACGATTGTGGGGAAAGGTTGTAGCATTAGGTTTTGTTGTACAGCTCCTGGGGTGCGGCCTGTGTGCAGCCAGGGCTGAGAGCTGCTACTGTGGGTCGTGGGTATGAACACACTTCTGTTCCAGGAGAGGCACTAGAAAAATGGAAGTCCTGCCTCTCAACCCATTTACACAAATGTGAGAATCAATCACCAGGAAGGTAAACGACCCAAACATCTTCCTGTGCCTCCATTTCCTTGTCTATAAAGCAAGACCTACACTACAACCTACTGGCTGTGGTGAAGATTAAGCGGCAGCATGCCTCGTGAAGGAGAGAGATCTCGACTGCCCACAGTGTCTTCCCTCATGTACTGACACCAGGGAGTCCAACCCTGAGGACCCACCTGCTTCATGGAGGGGTCCCTGGCCCAGAGGGGAGTCGGGACTAGCCTGTAGGATCGTCTCACTCTTCAGAGACAGAACATGGCTCCAGAGCTGGCTCCCCACCAAATGTCCCTTTTATGCATTGCTAAACTGCATGCCACCTACCCCATCTTGCCCCAGCCCAAGGATTCCTTTCACATTTCCCACAGCCTGACTTGGGCCTGACGCTTCCTGGGTGATTCTGACTTACTGGCTTCACAGCTTTGCACATTCGAGAAATCTCCAGGGAGCAAAACATTTTTTTCTGACGTCTGGTACTGTCTGTCAAAGCCACAGCAGTGAATGGTTTTTGGGAGAGAACCATGGAGTAGTCCACGGAGGCCTTCTGGAGGAAGTGGGTCCGAAGATGACTGCAGACATTGATGGAAGCACTCAGAGGCAGCATGCCCAAAACTACTGTAGATGCTGATAGGGAGGAGCACGGACAGCCCCGGAGCAAGAAGCAAGGTTTTAGGCCCCATCCCACCCCACAGGATTCCTGCCACTCAGGCCCCACAAACAGTCACAGGAATCACTGTCTCCCTTCTCAGGCCTTGCTGAGAGAGGTAGGAGTGTCCTCAGCAAGGTGTTCTAGATCTTCCTTTGCTCTAGGAGGCAGCTGGCCCTGTCCCGCAGGGCTCAGGATCCCATCCCCGCTGCCACCCAGCAGCCCCAGCCTTCCTGCTGGCCCAGCACCAGCCCTAGAGGCCATCGGTCCTCCTCCCTCGTTCCTGGCTCAGCCCACTCTGGGATTCTGCAGCCAGGAAGACACTCACCTTTCTACAGCAATGGCCACCAGCGTGAACACGGAAGCTGACACGGACATGCCCTGCACCAAGCCGCTCATCTTGCATGTGGCATTGTCGAAGGGCCACCCTGCAACAACAGAGGTCCCCCACCCCCGCCACCTGGAGTGAGAGACGGGCACCTGCCAAAAACCAGACATCAGGTCATCTAGTTAAGCTACCCTCAGGAGTTCCCATCTTTTCTTCTTGACCCCACGAGGCAGCATCTGGCAAGGAGAAATGGCTACCCCACACCAACATGAACTACAGAAGAGATATTCTTTATATCAACTAGCAATTTCCCTCTGTACAGATCACCCTCACTTCCTGCTCCCACAGCCCTGTTGTGGGCTCCAGGTCCCAGGGTTCTCCACTCTGGCTGCTGCTGCCTAGAAAACACATTCCCAGAGATTTCGAAAAAGCACCAAATGCCAGACCCCATGCCACACCAGTACAATCAGAAACCCAAGGCAGGAACCCAGACATCACTATTTTTGAACCTGCCTTGGCGGACTTGTGAGGATTCATGTACTAGCCCAAGCTAAAAATCGCTGGGACAAATTGCCAGTGACGCTGAGACTCGACAGGTGTAAATCGCTCCAGCCAGGACTCAACACTGGGATCCCCATGCTTGTGCTTTGTCAGGAGATGTGGGCAACCCATGCCCTGGCCAGCATGGGCGTTCCTGAGGCTACTGTGTTGGTGACTGCTGGGTGTCTGCCCTTCTAGGCAAGAGGCCCACCTTACTCCTGCCAGTCATGCCACCTGAGACAGGGATCCTGTTCCTTCCCCAATGCTGATTTCAGCCTGAACATATACTGAGTATCAGGCACTGTCCATTTACTGTTCACCTATCATTATCGACCCTATCATTATCTCATTATCATCCCTTTTTACAGATGAGGGTGGGATCGATTTGCAGAGAGTCTTTTTCTCCCTAAATCATTATACAGGAGTGATGAAATTCAGGTCTAGATGTTGGGGGAGTTTGTCTTAGAAAAGGCCACGCTGCCATGGACTGGTCCTATTTTAGGAAACTGTACAATGTGTGCCCCAACTCCCAAAAATATTTCCTCTGTGGCTCAGCCCACAAGGATGCTCACTGTACTGGTATCTGTCATGATGGCAGCAGGAGGCAGGAACGTATGGATACATCAGCTCACAAAAGAGAACAAGCCTGGACGGCAGCCCTTGCCAATAGCTGTGCTGCAAATCTCCTTATATGACAAAGTTTCAGCTGCCAGTACAGTTATCGCCAGATACAGGCAGCTTGGGAAAAATGCACACAATTGGCCTTCATAGGCTGGCATGAGCTGGCATGAGCTGGCCCTTGTGCACTGATGGATAGAGACCCCCTGGTATCACTCTCTGGAAGTTGACACACAGTGGACAACAGCTGGAAGCAGCAGCTAACATGTACACAGAGTAACATGGCTAGAAGCCTCAACAAAAAGAGAAATAAAATGGTTTTAATACAAAACATCCATTTACATGAACAACATAGCCACAGAATAACCTGATATGAAAGAGTATAAAAGATACCAGCCCTACTGGATATTGGAATATGCTTTCAGACCTCTATAAATGAGCACAGTATGCCGCTGGTGCAGGAAAAGACAGACCAGGCAAATGAGAAGGGAAGTGCAGCCATAGAAACACAGTACATCAGAAGGGCAGCACCTGGCATCTCAGGGGCAATGATCCACTCCTGTGTCCTTGATACTTGCTTTTTTATTTGAAAGGCAAGGAGGGGGGGAGAGAGAGAACCATTCTACCTGCTGGTTCACTCCCCGCATACCTACAAAGCTGGGCACTGAAAGCTCAGGTTTTCCCTCTGATTCCAAGCCTCCTTTCCAACTCCTCTGCTAAGCGGCCAGCCAGCCCCTGCCCTGCTAAGGCAGTCCTGGGGTGGGGAGCTCATTGGCTCCAGGGTAGGACTCTGACGTGCAGCAAGAGCTCCACTGAGTGGTGTCTAAGGTCCTTATTCAGAGGAAGCTTGCCTTCCTATTGGTTCCCACTTCACTCATGGCAATGTGAGAGTGAACGGTAGAGCAATAGAAAGAGGAGCTTAGGAAATTAGGCTTTGATACTAACAAATGGTATTAACCATGATAAGGCCCTTAACCACTCTGAACATGCTTTCTCATCCATAAAATGGGCATAATAACAAAACACAGCTCACTGATCGGCTATGAGTATTCATGGAGTCCACCCATCAACAGAATGTTTGACACAAAGAAAATCATGGAGTCAGAGCATCTGTGATTGCTAGTCTAACCCCTCTGCAACAAGCCTGCTGTAAACAGTGATGGGGTGCAGTTGCTCCCTAGGGCCCACACTCACCAGTGATGAGGTTGTCCACAAGGGTGGTGGGCATGCAGAAGATGCCTACCAGCAGGTCACTGACGGCCAGGTTGAGGATGAACATGTTGGTGACAGTGCGCATGTGCCGGTTCCGAAGTACAGTGAAGCAGACCAAGGCATTGCCCACCATGCACAGCAGGAAGATGAGCACATAGGCCACAATGAACATGGCTGCCACCGGTGAGGAGTGCTGGTAGTAAGAGGAGAAGGTGAGGTTTGCGGCCAGGCCAGCCTCGGCGGTGCTCCCATTCGGACTCAGGGCCGAACTGCTGTTGGGAAGTTGGAAGTTCTTCCCTGGGACCAAAGGAACAAATGGTCAGGAACTTCAGGTGTTGGAAGAGCTGACTGATTCTCTCCCCATGAGTGAGGTCTTTCCGTTAGCCAAATTCCAAGCACATCCCAGCACACCTGGTCATGTGCCCAATGCCATCCACTGATCCAAAACTGTCAACCCCCACTACTCAAATCCACTCATGCCCCATCCTGCCCATGACTCATTTCTCATGCTGGTTGATTTTGATAAATTTATTTATAGGGAGGCCAGTGTTGTGTCAAAGCAAATTAAGCCACTACTTGCAATGCCAGCATCTAATATTGGAGTGCCAGTTCAAGTTCTGACTGCTCTGCTTCTCATCCAGCTCCCTGCTAATAAACCTTGAGAAGCAGCACAAGATGATCAAAGTGTTGGGGCCCCTGTCACCCATGTGGAGACCCAGACGGAGCTGCAGGCTTTAGTTTTCACCTGGTCTGGCCCTTTGGACTGTGAGCCAATAGATACAGGATTTCTCTGTCTCTGTGTGAGTCTACCTTTCAAATACACACTTTTTTTTTTTTACAAAGTATGTGTCTATTATTTTTTTAGAGACAGACAGACAGGACTTCCATCTGCTGATTCATTCATCAAATGCCACTACATTTGGGGCTGGGCCAAGTTGAAGCCAGGAGTTGGAAACTCAACCCAAGCCTCTCACCTGGGTGGGCAAGGACCCAAGTACTCGAGCCATCACTGCTGCCTCCCAGGGTAGCTATTAACAGAATCAGCAAGAGATTTGAGACCAAAATCGAGAAAATTCAATGAGGGGTACAGGGGTCCACTGGCAGTTTAACTAGCAGGTCACACTTCCAGCCCACATTGCCCAAACACTGGCCATTCTCCATTAACTCCTCTCCCATCCAGACTACCTTCATCTGGGCTTCTTGTGTGCCCAGGACTAAGCCCTGGTTTTTGCATCCCCCGGGTCCCTGGCCCTGGCACATCCGACCTACTAACAAACCGTCCACAGCCAAGTCCCTTGCCCATCCTGGATTCAGTGGCTCTACCTGCTTGGCATTTAACAAAGTCCTTCCCTATTTATAAGCAGTTAGGACTTGGCCCTGTCTGAATTGGGGATCAGGGCGGCTCCACGTCTTGCTCCAGGTTCCACAATGAGTGAGCAGCAGAGCTGGCCCTGCTCTGAGTGTCCCTAACTTGGGACCAGGTTTACGTGGGACTTCCCTAGCCATGTTTCAAAGGGCCTGGCTCTTCTGGGAAGTCATTAGTGGTAGTGACTCAGGGCATTGTCTCACAAACTCTGCCCCTGCCTTCCCCTGGGGAAGTTAAATGTGGCTTGTTGTGGGGATGGACTGTCTCCAGGGAGTCCTTCTCTGCCAGGTTCAAAACTCAGCCCAAGCTGGCCAGTAGCCCCACCGGATGCTCCTGACACCTGGGAGGAGGGTGGGAACATGTCAATGAGCTGGCTCAGCCTGAGCTGCAGGGACCAGTGGGTGCAGCCCGGGATGCTCAGTGAGGGCTGGGAGGGTTGCTGGTGGAGATGAAAGAGTTGGAAATTTCCACCTCACAGCGCAAGCAGAAGCTCAGAAACCCGCCCCTCCCCACGTGGTTTCTAATTGCATTTGAATTTCTTTAGTTTGATATGGAAAATGCCAAATCTGTGCAAGAGAGAGAATATTACAGTGGAACTGAATAAAGAACATGACACATCAGGAACCACTACAAGGGTGAAGATAATCAAGAACTCCCAAGTTCAGATCATCTATTTCCTATACAGATCAACTCAAGGTCAAATATATCATATGCCCTCACCTCTCTCCTGATTATGTTGAGGCCAATTCCAGATGGCACTTCTTTTCATCCGTAAATATTTTCATGTGTATCTCTAAAAAAATAATTCTTTTCTAGAAAAGATTTATTTTATTTTCATTACAAAGTCATATATACAGAGAGGAGGAGAGACAGAGAGGAAGATCTTCCATCCACTGACTCACTCCCCAAGTGAGTGCCAGGAACCTCCTCCAGGTATCTCATAGAGTGCAGGGTCCCAAGGCTTTGGGCTGTCCTCTACTGCTTTCCCAAGCCACAAGCAGGGAGCTGGATGGGAAGTAGAGCTGCTGGGATTACAACCGGCACCCATATGGGATCCCAGGGCGCTCAAGGTGAGGATTTTAGCCGATGGCCACAGCTCCAGGCCCTAAAAAAATAATTCTTAAAAAAAAATTACCTCAGGCCTAGCATGATAGCTAAAGTGGCTAAAGTCCTTGCCTTGCATCTGCCAGGATCCCATATGGGTGCCAGTTCATACCCCCCCCCGCCTGCTCCACTTCCCCTCCAGCTCCCTGCTTGTATCCTGGGAAAGCAGAAGAGAATTGCCCAAGGCCATGGACACTGCAGCCATGTGGGAGATAAGGAAGAAATTCCTGGCTCTTGACTTCAGATCAGCTCAGCTCTGGCCATCGTGGCCACTTGGGGAGTGAACCAGCATACAAAAGATCTGTCTTTCTGTTTCTCCTTTTCTCTGTAAATCTGAAAATAAAATAAATCTTTAAAACAAATAGCCATGGATATTTTGAGCTTACTAAATAGGGCCCTGTTTAATTAAAAAAACAGAAACAAAAAACCTCAAAATTTAAAAATCATGACCATGTTCTGCTAGAACCGAACAAGTGAAAATCGCATCGTGGTATTTCAAAGATCCAGCCTCCAGCATTCAAAATTCCCTCAGTGCTTCATGATCTTTTAAATGGTTGATTTGTTTGAATGAGGAGTCAACAGGATTTCTGTATCTACTTCCTATTATTATCTGACAAGATATCCTGAGATGCCACTGTGTGGCCTCAAGGAGCTCGGCAGTCTGTCTGGTCCCTCTGCAGGTGTCTCGGGATCTCTCATACACTTGCAGTCAGCTAACAGCTCCCCCGGGGCTGGCAGGGCCAAGGTGACCCCCCACCCCCGGCCGGGGCGGTCAGGGCTGGCTACCGGCTGAGGCTTTCATTTCCCTCCACCGCCTCTCACCCTCCTGGAGGCTGGTTTCAAGGACTTGTGCAGGATTTTCACACTTGTGCCCTCTTCTGGTGGTCAAAGTGAGTCACCCAGAGGGGCCCCCAAGTTCAAGCCAGTGCAGTCACCATCTCTCTGGATAGGAAGTCACAGAGGGTGCAGAAGAGGCATAGTCAGTCACGAAGGCCTGTTACTCTCAACCCAGCCTCCACCCGCACACCGCCTTGGCTGGATGCAGCTCTGAAGTCTCCTTGTTCTCGCCTCGCCCCGTCCCAGCCTCCTCTCCCCTCTGGATCACGTGCCTGCAGTTTCTTGTAAAAAAAAAATTAATTTGCTGATTTCTCCCTTGTGATGTCCATGTTACCCATTCAGTCTCTGTCCCCTGGACTTCCTGTAATTGGCAGCGAGATCACAAGGCCCCATCAGATTATGTCTGGTGGGCTCTTTGATCTCGGGTTTGTCAAGTTCCCCCCTTTAGTTTCCGCAATCACTAATGATCATGGCTTACACCCTGTCCTGCACTTCAAGAGCAACTCACGCTTGGACCACTGTCTCTCTGAAATACTGCCTCCCCCACAATCTCTGTAGACGTCTCTCCAGCCTGGCGCTGCTCTTGCCTGCCACACTCTCACCACTTGACATGCTCTTGGAGCCTACACAGTCTTATATTTTCCAATGCCAGGGCCTTTGCTCTTCTCCTGAGTTAGCTTTTGAGTCAGATCTTGTCCTGGAGAGGAGGATTCTGATGACTCTAAAGCAGGAGCATCCTATGATCTCTTGCAGTGTCTTGCTGATGCTCTTCAGGCTGTCAGTGTGTTCTTTGTTTGCAGGCTTGTTCGCCCTCCCCTCCAGGCCTGAAAGCCTGTTCCCTGTCTTGTTAGCCATGTCCCTGCCTCCTTGGCACTGCCTGCCCGTGGTAACTGGTTCAATAAACAAGGCATGGCTCTCAAAAGAATAACCGTTGCTAAGAAGCAGACAAGGAAGGGAGGCGAGTGCTGCTTCCAGGTGATAGGATCCTGTTCGGAGCAGGCAGTGCTGTGCCTCCAGGTCTTCCACAAGCCCCCTGCTCCACCCCCAAGAAAGATGTTGTCCAGCATAGGGCTGGACACTCCACATGCAGTTCACTCAGCTGAGCCCCCAAATCCATTCTGAATCACCCAGGAACCCTCTGTGTGTGTGGACAAGTACATAAAATTGCCGGGGTCTTGCTGGCTGTGTTCAGCCTCACCATTTTCCAACCTGCCCTTGTCCTGGCTTTCAAAGCCTGCCCCTTAGAAGAGTCTGGCAATGACCTTGCCCTTCTCTGACACTTCAGATGAGCCTACAAATCCAGCTGTAGACTTAGCCCAATTGTCCAGCTCTGCTTGCCAAGCAGGAAAACCTCCTTTCTACCCCAGGCAAATCCTCTGGGGCAAGGGCAGGGTGTGGTAGAGGCACCCTGTCTGGGTAGCTGAGGCCTCATTTCCACCTGCACTTGTCCTTGCCGGATGTGCCAGGTGCCCTGAAGTTACAGTGTGAGAATCCAGTTTTCATCCCCCGAGCCCAATTAAGCCTTTCTCTTACCAGCAGAGCTCTCTGGGGGGTCTCAGGTACAGGGATGTCTGTCTCTAGGGCACTCCATTAATCTGCACCGACCAGGCTCGGGACCCTGAGAGCTGGGGCTGCAGGAAGAGTGGGGCCCTGGCTGCAGCAGCAATACCACCTGGAACTCGTGAGGAGCTAAAATCCCAGGCCCCACTGCTGACTTGGGTGACCAGAAACCCTGAGGCCCCAAACCCAGCTATCTCTGTTTAAAAATAAAGAAATATTATTTTCCATTTTACTTGAAAGGAAGACAGTCTGCTGATGCACTCCCCAAATGCACACAATGACTGGATCAGGATGAAGCCAGAAGCCCAGGAATTCCATCCAAGTCTCCCATCTGGAGTGGAGGGAGAGGGGTAGGAACTGAGCTGCTGTTTCCCTGGAGAGTGCACACTGGCAGGAAGCCAGATCGGAAGCAGGGGTGCTCTAATACTGGG